CTTGCCATTGAATTATAGTAACATTGAGGCCCACTTATCTAACTCTTAGATCAAAATTCAAAAAGTCAATTGTTATACTTCACAGCACAGTCAATCGCTTGATTCAATGTTTGAGGATCAGATAAGTTGAGCATCAATTTCTTTACATCATATTGTAATCCATACAAAAATTAGTTAATAAGTACACCATCATTCTAGTTGATATTAATTGCAAGTTGTTAAAATTGTAAAGCATATAATATTACAAATCAATTATTTTGTTGTAAAATATGGATCTTGTTGGTTGCAATATAGATTGTATCATGTTCTCTATACATAGATCAAAAATTTGCCAAAAAGGCCTCCAAATTATCTAGTATATTGGATCTTGTTGTTTAAGAAAACATAAAAACTACAATTATGCTGAACTTCAAAGAAGTGTATCAATGAATCTAATTTGTGATCTTGGAATTAGATAGCTTTGAGATTGAAGTTCAATGACAAGTTATACTTGATTGATAAATTCTTAAAACTTCGAACTTAAGCCATCAAACTTCTCAAGTATGGCAATTCTTACTTCTCTAGTACCAAAAGGATATTCCATCATAGAAAAAGGGATGTAATTTGGTGTAGATATTGAAGTATCTATATCTTCACTTCTTCCTATTTTTATTGCTCTAGATGGCAATAAACTAAGTTAATACATCACAAGCATCAACTCCGTCAATTGCTCTTACATTTGTGTCATTGCACTTTTAATTTCAAAAAGCTCTGCCATAATAATACTTAGAGAAAAAAAATCTAATATCGCACAAGACAAGCAAAAGGGAGGACTTGAAAATAAAGAAGATACTAAGAACAATATTAGTTTACAAGAGGGTAATCTGCAACTTCTAATAGGCTTATGTCTTATTAAAAGAAATGGATAATCCACTCTTAATCAAGAAAAGACAAAGCTCTAATATTGTAAGTGCATTCTTATCAATCTATCAAAGACATGAAATGAAAAAAGATGCATAAATTTAGGAAATCTATGTCAAAAGAAAAGTAAAAAAATAAAAATAAAGTAATATGTATATTAAAAAGGAACTAGAATAGCTATTGCTAAAAGACAAGGAAATTAGAGACTCTTGAATCTAGACTAGAAACAAGAAAGGAGTTGGCAAGAAAATCTTGTTGAAAATTTAAAATAAAAATTTAAATATGGTTTGTTTAATAAGATATTTAAATAAGTCAACCATAAACAAAACTAAACTATCAAAGAATGGATCTACTTTCAATTATCTAAAAAGAAAATCCAACTATTTTCAATAATAAACTCTTATGTTATATAAAAATGAATCTAGATTTTTATATTTTCTTATTCCATTAAATTCATGTTTTTTTTTTAAAAAATCTCGTATTATATTCTTTAATTAATAAATCAAAGTAGATGTGAAATTAAATAATTAACATTAATTTGATATAATATTTCAAATTATTGTTTAAACAAATCCTTATTTTTTGTTGACAACTTTGGTCGCCAGAATCGTGTCGCCTTAGCTAGAGTTATTGTACTTCGTATTATTTTTATGGCAGTTTTTTTCTTTTTGTTTTTTTTTCCTTCCCTTTGAAGAGTATTGGGCTGCTTGTTTTCTGCTAACCCCTGCCTCTGCTCGTTGCCATCTCTTCTTCATCAAGACCACAAACAGTCTTCGTCCCAGCCTCTTCAATTATCATGTCTGTTGCCAAATCTAGGGTGAATTTGCACGAGGTTGCATCCAGCATTTCCTTCACCTCTTAACGTTCTGTGGAACATCTTTGATGTAGATTGTACCCTTGAAAGTAAATTTACTTTGGTCTTCAGCACGAGCCTTTGTATGGAACACGCTCTAAAAGCGCACAGATACGCCAACATTGATCACACCATTTAGTTTCGGTCGAATGAGTAAAATATCCGATCTGCGAACGAACTCTTCCTGTTATTGTCCCCGAACAACGCCAATTTGAACTCCTCCTTGTGTGTAATGCCATCGTCGATAACAGAGTTGCTGAAGAGCTCACAAGGCGCTTCCACCTCGCTGACACTTTAGGCCGATTCCTTGATGAGAATTGAGCGATATTCATGGTCAGGATGGGGAGGGCTCTTCCAGCCACTTATTGCTGGTGGCCAAGTAAACACTCCACTTATGTCATCCCCATGCTCCGCCTCGGAATTCTCTTCCTCGTGAATTGTATACGTGAATTCGGCACTAGTACAATATCGTGAATATCGTGAATTGCTACGTGAGCTTGCTGCCTTCTGAGTCCTAGATGTGAACGCCGGTAGTTGTTCTCCAGAGCTTCGACAAGATTTTGCACTGGTGCTCAATATAGTCAGAATACAGCATCGATTGTGAGTAGGTTCATTGCTGGAGGACCTCCGATCTCCTTCAATCAGTCCCTAAGATTGGTGAAATTTTGATGAGAAATTCCTTGCACAACTTGCATCAGGATGTTGGTTTTTCGACAAGCCTAGAATCATTGAAATAGGAGACGAGACGAGTTTTGGAAAATTCAAGTAAACTGGTCTACTGTTGCATTTGCAGTTAGGGTCACCTAAGTTTCGTGGAGCAATTTTCAGATCTGAACCATTGGATTGGCATAAACTTTGGCCTTTGCTTAAGCATTTTGGATTTTTGGTTCTTACAAGCTAGACATCATTGAGATTGGAGTATTGAGGAAATTAGAGTTACTATTGGAATCCAAGGAAGTCCTCAAGTTACAGATTCTAGTATGTAGATTTAAGGTGGAATATTAAGTATATGGTTAAATGTAACAAAAAAAAAAAGAAGAAGAGAAATAATAAAATTTTAAATCTTTTGTATGTGAGTTGGTAAAATAATGTAGCTTGTAATTTTAATTATTTTTGTTTGTTTGTTTGTTTGTTTGTTTGTTTGTTTTTTTTTTTCTTCTTTATTTAATTAATTAAATTTATTCTAAGGAATTTATTAGGATTATAATTAGAATTTTGGATGCTCTAAATTTTAAGGTTTTCTTAAATTTTAGAATTTAGAGTTGTTGCTTTTAGGATTTTTATAATTTTAATGTTTCAATTTTTTTGCATTAAAGGTGTTAGAATTTTTTTAAAATTAAGATTTAGAAATTGTTGGCCTAAGGATTGGTAAGATGGTCTATATACTTATAAGACATGGTGCTAGTCCATAACTTTTAAATCTTTTGATTAATTGAAATTGAGAAGCATCACTTAGTTGATTTTATACATTAAAAAATCTATTTAAAAAACTTTTAAAAAATTAAGATAGAATGCCTAATTTTTCTATATAGCATAAATAATGTTATTTTATTAAAACAAATTGGATCTTTTTCAAGATGTGGTTTTTAAAAGACATTTTGTATATACTATACTACAATGGCAATTAAAAATTTAAGAGATGCATTGCTAAGCCAAAGACTTATATAATTCTATTCAATTTGCATTTCAAGTTAGTCTTCAATTTACTAGATGTACAATCAAACACTTTATTTTCTTCTATTTAACAATGACATAAAGTACAACCCCATATCAACATCAAAATTTAGTAGCCTCCTATTGTATTAGAATTAAATGCTTATCTAATATACTCAAAAGAATTGGATATTCTACTATGAAGTCTTTGCCAACATATCAAATGCACTCTTTTAGATCATCTATAAATGCTTTTTCAGCCCCTAATCTAACTTTTATATAAAAGACTTTTTAAATTGACCTATTCATTATTTATTTTTTTTCTTTTATTTTCTTTTTTTTTCTCATGCACCCTCTTTTCACTTTTGTAAAAAACTTTGGACATCAATTCATATGCCATGTTTTATTTAAATCTATACACTAAAAAACTTCTAAGAAAGACTTTAAATTGACAACCTCAAGTCATTGAATTACATTTCTTTCTTAACTCTACCACTATTATGTGTTGCAAATTCTTTGTTTTATAGCCACCATAGCATTTTTGCCAAAATAGAATACATTGTAACCCTTTTATATTATATTCCAACAAATTGAGCTAATATAACTAATTGAAGCTATCATTGTATCTAAGCCCATGGAAGATACATTGTACATGTACAATGGAATCAACCATATTCACCAATGATTATAATTTTAAGCTTGTATTTGCACACTGATACAATATGGTTTTCTAACTCAACAATCCATAATTTTTGAGTTAGGGTTTAAAAGTACATTGAATTTTACTCAACATCAAAATTAAGTAGAAATTTATAAAACTATTTATTGTACTAAAATAAAATTAAGATTTGTGAAATTTGAGTTTAAGTTTGAATTAGATAAAAAAAATTTAATGCCAAAATTTATATTTTATTAAAAAGATTCAATTTTTTTATAATCTAAAAAAAATATTTGTATCAATTACAAGTTAAAACTTTTGATATTGTAAAGATTATAAAATCTATAATTACTTAAGACGTCTAGGAGTTTCTAAAAGTTATCAAATATAATTAAAAACTACCTCTTATTTATTTCTTATTGTAATATAGAACTAAAGTTTTTTTAATATTTATTTTAATAGTATAAAAAATAGGTAAAATATTTTTGAATTATTTTATAATTTAAAAAACTATTAAGTTAAAAAAATGATAAGTTTTCTTATGTTTGAATTAGTTTTACTTTAAACTAAATATATTATTTATTTTCAAAGTTAATATTTTAAATCTATTAAAATATTTATAAATAAATAATTTTTTTACATATTAAAAATACAAATAAAACCTTAAATCTAATATTATTTGTTTAAAAAAATCTAATTATAATTTTATATATTATATATATTTATTTAGTAAAATTAATATTTACTTAAAAGCATGGCATTTTAAAAATATATTAACTAAATGAGTGAGGAATTTGTTTGAGAATTTATTTTAAATTCATTAAAAGCATAATTTATTTTATTAGATATTTCATTTGTATTTTTAATTTTCAATAAAAATTATGATAATATTTCAATAAATTAAAATGATGTATTATAATACATATAGGAAAATGATAAAGCAACCCAAATTTTTAGTAAATTGACCTACATGTTTAAACCATCATTGTATTCTTGCCTCCATCTTTAGCAATGGTTGGGAATAAGGAACAACTATGAATAAGGATGGGGTTGCAAGGGAGCAATGATGGTGAAGATAGAGTGGGTTGCTTTAATAAAAATTTGGGTCAATTTAGTTAATTCTAGAGATGCACATTAAATACTACTTCATAGTAATTGAAGTCATTCTGTTGGTTAAGTATGCAGGCTATGTACACAATCGGAGTCCATGTAAAGAGAATCCTGTTCAACATCTGCCATGCTACTTCTAGGGGTTTTTTTTTTCTTTTTGATCCTTTGGTAGTGAAGGATGTAGAAGCAGCTGCACCTACTTCTTCGTCTCCTTGCAGCAGGATACGCTTGGATGCATGATTTGTTGATGATTTCTACAAAGATTGTGCAAGGTATTCTACTAATGTTGCACAACGTCGACGAGGTTGAAGAATTTGATCAAGTTGCGGGAGTGAAATCTGTGGCAGCACTTGTCCTTCACCGAACGTTTGCAATATCAAATCGTCTCGCAGTTTGCTTCTTTGAAGCCGACACGTTGGTTCACTAGGTCGTGCACAATTAAGTGATTTTGCTGCTGGATGTTGCCCATAATACTGAAGCCCGTGCTTGCTGCCATGGCCAAGCAAATGCTGCCCCCCGTGTCCAAAGCAACGAAGACATTCTCTGGAGGAAGTTCGTAATCTGCACCCTTGAAATGAAACGTCATGGTAGGGTAGGTTGGATTGGCCACTCCTGCTGTGGAGAAGCAATAATCCAATCCGTAGAGGGACCCATCAGCTTCTGGAAATGGAACTTCTGCCTTCAAAGCCTGGTGACACAAGTCCCATGCAAATTAGAATAGAATGCATTTTGACGGGTTCCGTGTGAATTTGGTTTGCAAGAGTGGGTACAAACATTCGACAAGCAGCCTGACGAGCGATTTGAATCACGAAGGAGGTTTAGATGGTTTGGGGTTTACCGCAACGAGAGCATTAAACGCGCCAGTCTCGAGGTAAGTAAGAGTCGTTCCCGAATCTAGAATGAACCCTCCCTGTCCGGAAGCATCGATACTGAAGGTTCCTACAGGATAAGTCACGGCTTTTCCTGAGACAGAAATCCCTGTGAGATCAGCATAATAAAAGGTAGGATTAGCGGTGTTGGTTAGCAAGGCCGTGTATGCGACACCTCCCGCAGCAGCCGAATCACCGATGAGCATGGGACTAGTTTTGGTGCTCCCCAACGGCACCAAACAGTAGGAGAATTTTTTGCTGGTGATGGAGCTTGCTTGGGATATGAGAGACAATGGCCCTTGACCGAGCCCCACTATTCCTGCTGCCCCGGCAAAGGATCCCAAATTGGTGTGGCCGCAGCCGAAAGCGACATTTGGGATGGTGCCTGTGCCGACGGTTACCGTTTCAGTGGACAAAGCACCGCTGGTTGAGGAGCCGTCTCCATACATGTAATCGTACTTGCAACTTGTGGTGCATGATTGGAACGGCAAACTCTGGAACAAGACAGAGCATCAGTTATTGCAAGTGAAGCCACAATCGCTAGTGAAATTCTTCATTTCTAGAAACAAAAACTGTGAAGGGTATCGGAGGATTGTAAATTACCGAGCAGAAGTTGCTGGCGCAGCTCACGGTATCATAGGTAGATGATTTGACAGGGTCGAAGATCACGCTGGCCGCGGCGTTACAGGTTTCGCAAGGCAAGCACTGGGTCCATATCAAGTCGCTTCCAGTGTCCACTATGACAGAGGCTTTTTGTGGAGGGCTACCGAATGATATATCAATCAAATATTCTCCATTACCAGAAGCAACTGGAGTTGAGAAGAGTCTCCCCTCGGCGAGAATATGTTTGGAGAGCTGCGCCCTGCGTTCGGCACCCCTCTTCACTGCGGCGAGGAAGATTTCGGTCGTGGTTTTCGAAGTGTTTGATCTTAACGGCGAAGATGGATGCTCTCTGTGAATCAACTCCGTTCTAAGGACCTGAAACGAAAAATCATAGAATGAATTAATTGCTTGGAATTGGTTCATGCTGCAAAATCGTACAAGCTTCAGCGTTCTGAAGTATGCAAGAAGATCCTCCCGTATCGCTTTGATGTTGACGGATGCCTTAAATGGGGGAGGGAACGACAAGACACCGTGAGGACGTTTCTGCATCACGACAAATCAAGAATTGCATGCAAAAAATAAGTAAGGGACTGCAGAGATGGAATTGCCTTATCATTGATTGTAGAATCTCGAGCAGCCAGAGTCTGCGTGATAGGAACGGCAATCAAGAAGACAATCGCCGTCAGAACCAAGGCTTGGCACCCCATGAATGCCATTTTCAGTACCCTAATCCCCCCCCCCCCCTCCCCCTCTCGAACTGTTGCTCTCTGTGGCTCCTGTACAAGGAAGGCAACCTAGAAGTATTATTGGAAAGTCCACACAATTCATCAACAACTTATGACACCCACGAGTTCACCAATGCGGTGACGCACTGGAGGCAGACGGACCAGAGCAGAACACAACATTGGCAGAAGCAACCAGCGCGTTAAGGTGGAAGGGGTGCAGACCAACTGAATTATCTAGACAAGGGGAAGGAATTTTGTACCACTCGATCTGGGTACTTTGTAACTTTGCATGGCGACGAGTGCTCGTTTCGTCAATCATCCGCCACAAGGTTTCCTACCCGCAGATTCCCCGATTTCAGCTGTTGGTCCGATTCTGAAAAAATAATATTAATATTATTATGTGAAAAGAATCATGCTCACTACGCCACCGCGTCTGAACCCATCATGAAATCGATTTTTGTTCAGGAGACAAAAATTGATGGATTACGCTAAAATCCTGGCGAGGGTTTTCATTAGTGCACTTAAATCCAACTCTCTTTCTCGCTTCTAGGAGTTGCCGAAACTTACCCTGCTCTCTGTCGCAAAACTTACCGGGTGATCTATGGAGACTTACTTTCGTGGAAAAACTTGTCGTGATGTAACTACCAGTTTTTCTCTACATACTCTGTGTTGCTAGACAGCCAGGCACTTCGAATGATCGACCAGCTAGAGCTTCCCAACCCTCCTGTAGGTTTCTGTGTCTTTGTACTACAACATTCTCTTATTGGCCTGTCGGTTTGCAAAGTATGTGTGACGACTTTTTCATGATTCACTAGGTTTCGCCAAATAATTTCATGGCCCACAGACCATAATGTACAAATCATTTCTGTAATAACTGGTTCAAGGTCCAGAGCCATCGGTCAACTACTGCGTCGCCATCAGCTTCTGCTCAACAGTCGAGTTCTATGTACTTCTGGGTGATAGCTTACATGCATGACTGACGATCAATAGCCAGTACCCGCGTAGTGTCCACCCAATCAAGCTTATCAATGCATATCGAAGCTTTAGCCTCTCATTAATTGTATTACGCTCCTGTCGATCCGGTGAAATCAGTCTCAGGTGGATAGAATTCTTCTTAAAAAGAGCCCTTTCTGCGATCGATTCTGCCCCGAGCAATCATCGGCTTGACTCTCAATCACACGGGTGAATGGATGGTACGTCAGAAGGGGGCTTGGGCTTGGAAAGATACTGTACGCAGAGAGATGCTCGTCACCACCCGCCAATGATCTGGAAGGAAGCCTAGCAATCACACTCGGCGTCAGAGAAGGAGCCCCCTTCCAGCCTCGTCTGAACCCTGAATCAAATCCTCGTCTCCATCATGAACATTTAGCGCTCCCACTTCAACCACCTGACAGCACATACGCCAACCCGGCTGGCACATGATTCTGGTGCCTTGCGGAAGCCAACTGACATTCACAGTTGAAACGAAGCATGTTTCAAAGTAATCTAAGCGTAAAGGATCCTTCGCGGATGAGTCAAATGTCAAGATCCTCGTAACGTACGGAGACAACCTAGACGAGAGTCTAAGTTGTCTTGGTTCCTGATTCGGTTCATGCCCTTGGCGCGTTCAACTCTTGGGAAGCAACCATTACAAGTTGGTCAGCTTCCGGAACCACTAATCGAAATATTGGTGCACCGCATAGCCGATGTGTCAGAGGAATCTGTTTACGACAGCCCTGTACATTGTGTGCACGATAATCAACTTATATGTTGCAGCAAGTTACTCTTGGTTTTTGAAAAAAACTTGATGACCACGCAGTGGACCCAAAATTGGCACAATCTGACACAGAGAGTGGCTCCAGTCAGCGCCATTTCTCATGATTCTTCGGGCGATGTGGTTTGTCATGAAGTGGCTCCCTCGGGGTAGGGGAGACCTACCGCGATCTCACTTTTCATGAAAGTATGGAAGAGGACAAATAACACCTACACACTTGAGTGACTGAACAGTGGGATTGAATTTCATCGGTTTCTGAGGCCTTGTGGAAGTTTAGTACATGTGCTGGATTATGATTTTTTAGATCCTCTCTTCCAAGCCCGTTCGTTAATGTAACAGATCACAGATCTGTTACAGACGAGTCTTTTCAAAGCTCCAGGCACAACAATCGCATCCGTCATCCCATTATGAAGCCCTGAATTCCAATTTCTGAATTGTTGGAGAAATCTAGTACAAGTATACGGAATTAATAATCTCATAATTTTTCCAGACAATATATGTACCCTATCGCTTGCTGTGGTTTTTTTCACTCTGACTAAGCTTAGGATGATTCAGAGGAAAACTCAATCTGCTGGTTATTTTCTTTGAGGAGAAAGTGAAACTGAAGTGATAGGTGCAGGCAGAAAGCAGGTATGGACACAAACAGTCTGTAAATCCTATCTGATTCATTTTTTGATTGTTCAAGTCTATCTTAACTTTATATATTGCAAAAGTTGAAATGAAGACCTCCGTATGGCGTACTCTTTCTTGCGTCAGGCATCAAAACAAGTTGGAAGATTCGGGGTTCATTCTTATACGACAATGACAAAAGTCGAAACCACTCCTTATTCAGAATGCGATGGGCAGTCGTCCCTACCGTTGCAAAAACAAAGCTATTCTTTGTCACATGAAAGTTTCGCCGGATGAGATCTCTTGTCTCTAGTCTCGTCCGCTTGTGGGCCACTCGATAATCTGTCATCCTTTCTGAAGATAATAACATTATTACTGCGTCATGGCTGCCGTAAGACACCTCTAGTGAAGTTTAAGATGGTGTAGTGCTCTTCCAACCTGTTGCGTCAAATTGGATACGGAAGGAAGAATTGACCTGCTCCAATAATCTGTGGCGACGTTCTTTTCCGTCTGGTGTGGAACTGATGCATGGAGGCAGCTCCAATGATTTCACCAACATCGCACTCCATCTCTAACAACTGAATAAGACAATTCAACTCATTAGGACATTATAAATGGGTTAGATCTTATCAACCTGCAAAAGAATAAAATTGGTGAGGGATTGATGCTGATACCCATCACAAAAATATCCAATAAATAATGACGCCCCGGTTGAAATGATACTGTGTTCACAACTGATCGCAGGTTCTCTGCTGGGTATGATTCCTCGTTCTAGTCACAACTACGACGAGCTCAAAGAACGGCTGTATTACGATGCCCATGCATCTAATAAATTTAGTATATCAAAAATCTAATGCATGTAGATTTTTCGAATGTTTGTGAAGGATAAACAGGTTCAGGTCGATGGGAACTTGAAGGCATCAATTTGTGTGGGCAATTAATAGATACTTTAGTGGGCTCATGAGCTGTGGTATAAAACTTTCGCATGTGCTGCACAACTCTCGTCTTTCTCAAATTACCCACCACCGTATCGAGCTTCCTTTCAAAGCCGAGTCTTTTCGGCCTTGAATTATCCCTTGATGAGCTCTGAAAATGATTAGTCTCCCAGTCCCTCACTTGGATTTGAGATTAGTGCTTTCAAGATCAAGGCTGTTGTTTGTTTGACAGGATCTTACAACATGACGGAGTTTCATTTGGCTTCACAGATCAGTTTTCACTAACGATGAGGCTGCTAGGATAAGGGTAAGGCTCCTCCATCTTGGGTTTTCGTTTCCAGATTGCTGTGGCTTCGGCAGCCTGGGTGGAGGCGGTGGCGGTTTCAGCTGAAGTGAAGGAAAATTCGGAAGAGGTGTTGAAAGTCGATCCTAGGGTACCATACATTGTGCTTCTGAAGGGCTTGGTTGAAACCATGAAGTGGCGATCGAGAGTGAGATTTCACTGGGTTGCCTTGCTGCTGTTGCGGCCATCTGGCTGCAGAGAGATGAATTCGTAACTATTGCAGCGAATACCTATTGCAGATGGACAAGGTAATCAAACCCATCCCGATTCATCGCAGTGGGGGAATTGCAAGAGTGTTGGAATTAGGTTACGCATTATCACTTTTGGTTTCAAAATGAGATCGAGACAGTAGTTAATATCAACGGTTACACATCATGCAGATTAATGTCCGGGGAGAATTCAAATCCAGTTACGGACGAACTCATTGCAAACAAACTTCAAGTTCCAGGGAGAAATGGTCAGTCTCAGAGCAAATTTACGCCGAAGCAAAATCCGAGATAGGGCAGCAGGCAATCGGTTAAGTTTAAAATTTGGAATCCCAACCAGCTCTTCTCAAATTTCGCCTCAAACACATGCAGGTTGCTCTGGAGGGCAAGGGAGAAATGTAGCAGCGCAATCTAGTTCACATACTGGAGACTGCGGGGGTGACACACAAATTACAAATAGAGCAACCAGAGGACCACTCCAGTTGGATGGCAATGAAACCCTACCTTTGGAATGAGCTCTCTGATTTCATGTAATCAAGCTTAAGCTCTCCCGGTAATGGTCATATAGTTCCAGCTTTTGAAGTCTTCAGGTCTTCAAGGGTTGGCTTTGCTACTTTTTGCAAAACAAGTGCATCTTCATGTTGAGTGCCTCTCCTGTTCATGCTCGAACCCCAACAATCAGAAACACAATTCTCTTCTGCACATTTAACTACTATTGAAGTTGCCATCGTAATGTCATCATATTGGCAATTTCATGCTTTGTCGATCGGCGTTATCTTTTCTCCATTTCTGGTGTTAACCCTGTGCTTTGAGAAGTTTTAGCAGGGATACTGGAGTTCACAAATACTCTACCTGCAGCTCGCTTGTTCAAAGCTCAATGGCAGCCAGCACTCTGCACATCAACACGTGCTCAATCAGGTGCGTACACCTGATTCTCGCCTTCCTTAACTGAACCGTGACCATTACTTGTCGACAGTGTTTTGTGTTTTTTTTAATTAGTTTGCACGATTCTTGGCATGATTCTTATCGGCTAGATGACAATGTCTAGATCAGAAGCTCCCCACAACCCGAGAGCCTCTACAGGTGGGTCATTCTGAACCTCAATACGGACGCCGTTGTTGATGCGAGACACAACGTTGTGACTGCAGTGACGGTGTGTTCTTGAATCTTTTGGAACTTCTTTGAAGCTGATTTAGTTTCTTATTAAACATGTTGTGTATGTTTTTGGAAGATGGACTTCCACCAAAATTTAAAAGGTTTCCAATCATATCAAGACATGCGAAAAGAAAATTAATCATGTGGTGAATGTGGATATGTTTGAGTTTTAATAACATAAGTTTATACATGTTTCTACATATTTTTGGCAAGAATTAAATTTTGATTTCTACAGGTAATTAGTTACATTAATGTTCAGAATGGTCTAGCAGATGCTTTAAACCCTAATTTACAAGCATTCAAGCACTGATTTCTTAATATGTCAAGAATCCAATATTTAAATGTCATCAAACTTATGTACAAAGTTTACTAGCATGAATATATACATTCCTTGAAATTTTGAACCAAAATTTTGTCAAATTGCTCAAGATATAGCTCAAGACACAACCACTAATAAATCAGGTCACTTACTACCTTTAGATTGCATGCACTAACTTCAAAATTCAATAATTCTTTTACTTCAACTTGGAATCTAGCAAGTAGTATGCAAAAAGTGTAATTGCAAAAGTATTCTCTCTAGTTGTAATCGTTGATCTTCAATTGCCATCCGTACGTGTGCGTTATATCAAAAACAGTGTCAATAGCTCCCAAATCAACACCTTAACTTTGAGTGCTTATATCTCCTTCATATAAATTCCAAATCATAAAAGATTTGCACCAAAATCATAGCCAAAAATCTAAACTTGTTGACCCTAGCCTTTAAAGCTCAAATGGCTCCGAAAAACAAACCCTAATCTCTAATATGGCCTCGAGTAGCCTCCTCAAAGCCCATTGGTCATGATTTTTGTCCAATAAGTATGGAGATTTTCATCATTCATCTCCATTCATTTATATGGATGCCCTAAATTCTCTTTTTACTACCAAAATCCCTCTCTAACTCTTTTCTTTACAAGATTTACTCAATATATGTTTTAGACACCAAATTAAAGAATCAAAATAAGACTTCAAAGATCACCAATGTCTAATAAAGGTGATTCTAAATATTTAAAATTACTACCAACAAAATCAATCTCAAAAGCTACTATCAAAAGAAAATAAAGTTATACAAATTCTAATAGTAATCTTTTTAAACAACCTCTTTTTAAAGTAGTAATTTAACCACATTCTACAACCAACTAAGATCCAGTAATATGGCTCTCACCATGTTGTTAAGTAAATTGTACATTAAATACATAATCACATTATTTTTACATGGTAGCCGAACTATAACATGACAACGATAATTTGCCACATTCATTTTTAAATTTTAAAGAAGATGTGGATTTATATCATCAAATATAAGAGTGAGTACTTTTCTAGATTCAAGGAGTTTAAGGCACTTGTAAAAAAGTAATGTGATTGCAAGATCAAGATGTTGTACATAGACAATTGAAGTGAGTACATATCAAAGCATTTTGATGAGGACTTTTGGATGCATTGTCCATGTAAAGATATCAGATTGTATGAAATTCAAATTTAATGCAAAAGGTACAAAATGTGTGTTTATTGGATATTGTGAAGGTACCAAGGCATATAAGCAAATGGTTTTGAATACCAAAAAGATCATCAAAAGTCATGATGTAGAATTTTTCGAATGTAAAAATAATTGTGAGCACTTGGAGATGTATCCAAATGAGAATAATAGTGAGTTTGTGGAAAAATCTTCAATTTTAGCAAAGAAAAAAGAAGATGATGATGACAATAAAGATGGTATGAATGAAGATGAAAAGATGAAGAAGGAGGCCTCTACAATTCCTAAGACCAGTAATGAAGATATTGAAGATGTTGAAGATGATGATGATGATGAGGAGTATCAGCCTTTGAGTGAAAAAAGACAAGGTTTAAGAAAGAAGAAGCATGGAAGCAAGTGTTAGGGACATAATCCTTAGACCTTTCTAGAGACAAGTTTCTAAAACCTTCTAGAAAGAAGTCTCTAGAAACTTCCAGAAGATTCCTTGAATATTCTCTTAGAATATTCTTTAAAGATTTTCTAAAGATTCTTTGAAGATTCCCTTAGAAGGCTCTAGAAGATTCTTAGAATATTCTAGTAGATTCTAGGAAGTTACTTGAGAAGCTTCCTAGCTCTTGGATAGTTGCTCGAGAAGCTTCATAGTTCTTGGGAAGCTTCTTGATGCGCTTCCTTAGAACCATAGGCCAGTAGTATATATAGGAGTCGAGGCTGAAGAGTTCTTCAGTCTCGACAACACATCTCTTGAAGCTTTAGCTCAATTCTCTTGGCGTTGCTCTTGTACTCATCTGATAATCTAGTTATTGTCATTTCTTCTTGAACTTCTTGTTTAGATTTCTTGTTTGTATTTTTGGTCCGTGACAGTTTGTCGAGACTACCTTTATCTTAATATCAAAGTTGAATCCTTCTTGTTTGAGAGCGGATTACCCCTCTTCTTGAAGGTATTCTAGCGCTTTAGGGGTTGCGGATTACCTTCCTCTAAATTGATATTTTCTCAATCACAATATCAGAGCTTAGTTCTTTGAGGCAGAGAGTGGACTACCCCTTTCCTTGGAGATACTTGAGCGTTCTAAGGGTTGCGGATTACCCTCTTTTGGACTGATATTAATTCCTTCTTTTTGTTTAGCATAGCTAGTAAAAAAGACTGTTAACATCGATTTCAGAGCTTTGCCTTCTTGATAGAGTGCGGATTACCCCTCTTCTCGAAAGCATTGAGGCATTTTTAGAGGTTGCGGATTACCCTCTTCTAAAACTGAAATCGTTTAGTATTTTTTTTCTTTTCTCCGAGTAGGTTTTAGTGACAGGTAGTGCTACAATTTTCTCCAAGAGACTTAGCAATTTCTTCTTCTCTCAAAATTTTAATCCATCTATTCTCTAAATATGGAAGTAGACCAAGCCATAGACAATGCATCTCCACAAGTAGACAATAGAGTGGCAACTCTTGCAGATCTTCAAGCTTTTATGAATAGTGTACGAAAGGAGATTGCATTTCTTCGCAATCCAAGTAAAGAACCTCAAATTGATCTAGTGACCGAAGAAGCTAGACGCGAAATTCATAGCCTACAACAAGAGATTATTCGACTGAGAGAAGCAAGACATGTGTCACATACGACCCCTATGGATACTTCAAGGATTAGTACGAAAGAACCAAAAGCGAGTATGCCAGACAAGTTTGATGGAACAAGAGCCAACTTCTGAGGTTTTGTGCAACAAGTACGGCTTTACCTACGCCTATATCCTTCTCGTTATCCGAATGGATTTACCCAGGTTGCTTTCATAGGTACTCTTCTATCAAGAAATGCTCGCTCTTGGTTTGCTCCACTATTGGAGAAGGATTCTCCAATATTGTACGACCTAGAGGCTTTCATAGAGAGACTTACTGCTGCGTTTGGAGATAGCGATAGAAAAAGAGTGGCTGAAAGAAAAATACAAAATCTGCGACAAGGATCACGTTTTGCTGCAATCTATGCTGCAGAATTTCAACAGCTTACATGTGATCTTGATTGGAATGATAAGGCGTTCATGACACGATTTCAATATGGACTGAGAGATGATGTCAAGAACTTATTGATCACCATGCCTAAGGCAGATACTTTAGAAGAACTTATATCTCAGGCAATTATTTGTGACAACCGCCTCTTTGAATTACGACAAGAAAGACGATCAGGCTGGAGAAATGATGGAGCATTTGCTACATTTTCAAAAGGTCCAGAGAATCACTCTACAGATCCTGAACCCATGCAAATTGATGCGGTACGTTTCAAATCCCTCACAGCTGAGGAAAGAAATCGACGGTTTGAACAAAACTTGTGTTTATATTGCGGAGAAGCGGGCCATAAAGTTGTAGATTGTCGGAAGAAACAGAAGCCTCAAACAACAAGACTCAGGAGTACAAGCATGCAAGAAAACAAGGACGCCCAGCCACAATAGGGACCGTGCGGCTGGACATCTCAACATCCAAAATTAATCAAGGTCCCTTTCTCTCAGCTCAACCTTCAGATTGTTTTATGGTACCTTTACATCTGGGTATTCAAGAACTACAAGTCGATGCTTTATTAGACTCGGGTGCATCCGCTTGCTTTATAGATGAAGAGTTTGCCAAGCTTCACAATATTTCTCTTGTAAAGAAACTTAAGCCTGTCTATATAGAAGTCATAGATGGATGACCATTGTCTTCGGGCAATGTTATCCATGAAACTAAACCATTGAAGGTACGTCTTGAAAACCATGAGAGCAATATTGTGTTTAATGTTATCAAGACCCCTTCATGTCCTATCATTTTGGGACTATCTTGGCTTGATAGATATAATCCATTGATAGATTGGAAGTTGCGGAAAGTGACATTTCCAACAAACTCCTTGAAGGTGGAATCTGCCAAGACAATGTCTAGAAACAAATCCTTGTTTATAGGTGCAAGGGCTTTCATGAAGGAAGCCAAGCAAAATACACCTCTTGTCATCTTCGCAACTCTGACTCGAGAAGATGCAACTCCGACTTTGGTTATTCCAAAGCAGTATGAAGAATTCAAAGATGTCTTTGAAAAGAAGAATGCTGATATGCTGCCAGAGCATCGACCCTATGACTGTGCCATTGAATTGCAAGAAGGAGCACAACCACCTTTTGGACCAATCTACAATTTGTTGTAGACGGAGTTGACTGAGTTGCGGAAGTACATTGATGAGAATCTAGCCAAGAACTTCATCCGTCATTCGAAGTCGCCAGCTGGGGCACCAATCTTATTTGTGAAGAAGAAGGATGGCTCACTACGGATGTGCGTGGACTATCGAGGTCTCAACAAGGTGACAAAAAAGAATCGCTACCCACTGCCTTTGATCTCTGGTCTTCTTGAACAATTTGGGCGTGCAAGGATCTTTACAAAGATTGATCTAAGGGGAGCTTACAACCTTGTGCGAATTAAGGAAGGAGATGAATGGAAGACAGCATTCCGAACAAGGTATTGCCATTTTGAATACAATGTCATGCCATTTGGTCTTACTAATGCTCCAGCGGTCTTTCAACACATGATGAATGACATCTTTCAAGAGCATCTAGACGATTTTGTTGTCATCTATCTAGATGATATTTTGATATTTTCTAAGAACGAGGAAGAA